AGTGGACGCTCACCCAGAATGCAACCATGCTGGCACCCTGATCTTGGACTTTCAGCCTCCAGAACTGTGCAAAATAAATGTTTCTTGTTTAAGCTACCCAATCTTTGGTATTCTTTTGTAGCAGCATAACCTGACTAGGCCAAATACCATAGCTATGAAAGAGTGGGAAAAGAATTTTGGTAGAAAACTGGCCGTCTCCACATATTACCCATCACAAATGAGGAAGGCAAGGCACAGAGCTAAAGTAACTGGCCCCAGGTCATATGGCTGGCAAGTGGGTGGGACTGGAAGGCAAGTAGTTTAATTGGAGAGCACATGCTCTTAAACACCACTTTTCAAATGTTTGAGCCATAACCTAAGAAAAGCATTTTACTTAGTAATCTAGCACACGTGTTTATATCTTTGTATGTTTATACATACGTATGTTTCATGAAACAATCCCTACCTTTACAAATAGTCAATGAACTCTGATATTTGTATTCTATACTATTTCATTTTTTAAATGTTGGTCATACCCACTAAGTAGATTTCATAGCCCTCCAGTGTATTGTGATTGACAGTATGAAAAGAGTGCACTGCACTCAATTCTAGTATGAGAGCTGCAAGTCATTGGAAAGCTCCTGGAGAGCCTTCATACAGTATGAACTGTATGAATAAGAAAGCTAGAGAATTAGGTTCAGAAAACAGGTAGGCCCAGGGTTTCCAGGAAACCCAGCTAAAACCTTGTCCTGGGAAGGGTCTGACAAGATGTGCCTGACACCACTGTTGATGTTACTTCCACCCCTGCCACTGGGCACTGGATGCCATGTCCATTATCACTGGAACTAATTCCAAACCAGTTTGGCTTCTATGTGTCTCTCTCTCCAAAGTCCCAGGAGGAAGAACCCAGTTGGCATACTTTGGCCATGTGCTTGTGCCCAGGCTTATTATAATAGTATCAGGCAAAGCAAAAATCTAGCTTCTCAGCTCACAAACCCACAGAAAAAAGGTTAGATTCTGGGCAGCCCAAAATTGAATGAACAAACAAAAAGGCAAATGTCCAACATACTCATAATCTACTGGAAGAAGCATACAGTGATACAGCCAATTGGGCGAGTAATTGGCATCACTTTGTAGAACTAAACTATGTATCCTATGACACAGAAATTCCTTTTCTAGGCCTGGGGTCTGAATTGCAATTCCCACACAATGTGCATAACAAGACTTGTTTAAGCATGTTCCCTCAAACATTGTCTGTGATAATGACAACTGGAAACAACCTAAAGATTTATCATTTAAAAAATGAACAGGAGGGCCGGCCGAATGGCGCGTTGGTTAAGAGCTGGCTTGGGACACCAGAGGGCCCTGGTTCAGATCCCATATATGAGGGCCAGTGACACTGCCCTCTACAGCTAAGATGCTGAACAACAGCTCAACCTGGAGCTGGGCTGCCGTGAGTGCTGGCGACGGCATAGGTTGCAGCCCCTGCTGCAGTGGGTTGCCATGGGCTACCATGTGTAGCCGGCAGCCAGCATGAGCGGCCAGCAGCCGCGGTGAGCGGCCGTCCAGAAGCTGCCGACTGATCTGCCTCGCTTGGGAAGAGCGCAATGATGGTGCCAACTTGGGCCAGTGAAGCAACGTCCTCCACAACTAGACTGAAGAACAAAAGGACAGCAACTTGTCTGTTCCCCTTCCCCCAGTTCCCCAGCACTGTTCCCGTCCCCCAGTTCCCCAATAAAAATTAAAAAAAAAAAAAGAACAGGACTGAGTCCATTGTTCTTCTTTAGATCCCAGCACCAAGCACTGCTGACAGATTATCCGAGCCAAATAAATTCTTGTTGAAAGGAACTGTAACTGAATGAAATGCCAATCAGAAGTGACCCAGTGAGTGATGTGCAGGGCTAGAACAACGTGTCCAGAGGACCTTTAGAAGACAGCATCATGTAGTGCAGAGAATGTGGGCTTTAGAGTAAGAAAAAGCGTGGTTTGATACCAAGTTCTGCTTGTGCAACCTTAAGCAAGTGGCTTAACCCAGGAGCCTTGATTTCCTTGTCTATGAGACGATTAACGGGATAAGGGATCCCAGATGAGCAGTTGTAGAGCTTCCCAACCATTGTGCCACAATGTTGTGCTGCACTGGAGTGATGGGTACGCCAAGGAGGTGCTCCTTCCGCTTGTGGGTTGGTCAGCGCCCCTGGGCCAGTCACCTCTGGCCTTGAGCATCTCATTCATCTTCTACTCCAGTATGCCATATAAGTGTATGAATATTATAATTTTCTATGTGTGCCGCGACACGAAAAACGTGGGGAAGCACTAGCACAGTGCAGTCGCTGGCACATAGCATTCAGTAAACGTTAGTTCCCTCTGATGGAATGTGGGCTCTCTCAGGATTCTCTTCCTTGCCAGGGTTGTAGGGGATCTACAAAGACATGGACCTTGCCAGATCTCTTGGGAGCCACTCTCCTGAAAATCACCAAGGACTTCAAAATGGCCTCCATATGTTCTTCACACAGAAGGCTACCTAGAGTAGGAACTGTCCAAATATACAGAACAAAAGTCAAAGGGTCTAGAGTGAGTCAGATGAGGGAATGTCATCACACATAAAGGTGTTGAGAAGGAACACTTCTGTCGTGTGGGCGTTTCCTTCCACGTGAAGAGTACCCCAACAGCGTTACACCCCTGACCTTTTTCTGTCCCTTTGTTCAGTCCACCCCAAGGGAGCTGACTCATAGGAGGAAAAAGGTGCCCAAGTCCTCCTTCCTTTCTTCCCCAGGGGAGCTGACATCCTACAAAAACAATGCGCTTGTAACTCAGGACACAGAACACTTCCTGGAAATCACCCTGCTTTCCAAAAGGCCTTCTGTGGCCCAGGGCTGCAAGTAATTAGGTGGGGGATTTCAGAACAGGGTGCACTTGCCCCATACCAGCCATATTCTCCAATATTAGCTTTTGCAATAGGACATGCAGGCAGCCAGGCCAAAAGTGGACCAAGCAGGTGGCTTAACAACATGGGTTTCAGAAAAAGGCTAGACTTTGAATTCACATGAATCTAACATTTTTGCTATTAGTAAGTTTTAATTTCTTAAAAATCAGACCTTACATGAAGATAGTAGTTGAAAGAAAACTAGGTTTTAGTTAATAGGTCTGGGCTCTAGTCCTCTCCCCTCCTTTTTGATTCATTGTTTATCCTTGAGAAAATTTCTTAATTTCAATAGAACTCAGTTTGTTTCTCTTTTTAAAAATGATCAGTTATGCAACAGGGTCGCCAGTTCGATTCCCGAGCTGAGCTGCCAACAGGTGGCAGGATGGCTCAGCTAAAACAAAAAGATCAGTTGTAAAAGCATTTTAAAGGGTAAAATAAATACTTGTTTTTAAAAACAGTAGTTCTGTGTACCCCTGCCACTCATTTCCTCCTCTACAGAGGCAACTAATTTCACCTATTTTGTTATTTATCTCCATGTCTCCAAATTATACTTTGGTTTTGCTACTTCTTGGTTTTTCCTTTGCAGGCATCATCTATTGACTTCCCAGTACAGAAGATAGTACTTTGTTTCTATTCTTTCCTCCACTGTCACCATGCATACATACTATTTCCATGTGTACTTTCTATTATGGACCTTTAACCCTATGGAAACTTCCAATCAATAATCAATAAATGTAAATTGAGTGCCTGCATGAGTTAAGCATTTGGCTAGGCTTGAGAATGATAACATAAGTAAGAAACCAAGCAGCCAGGTCTGGAATATGTGCTCTTTTTTTTTTTTAACTTTATTGGGGAGCAGTGTGTTTATCCAGGACCCACCAGTTCCAAGTCAAGTCATTGTGTTCAATCTAGCTGTGGAGGGCGCAGCTGACCGGCCCAGGTGGGAATAGAACCAGCAACCTTGGTGTTATGAGCACAGGGCTCTAACCACCTGAGCCAACTGGCTGCCCCTGAAGTATGTACTCTTAAACACTATACCACAATGCCTTTCATAATGAGGTTAAGACACCAGAAGATCCTAAAACATCTACTGAATCATCTAATAAACACTAAATTGTGCTTAAATATAACTTTCATATCTAACTGTGCTTTATTGAATTCAAATTCTAGGAAAATTGGTTCATGCAAATCCAATACTTTCGTTAACCAATTCCCCATTCTTCAGCCACCCTGCACAAGTAAGAGTTGTCCTCATAATAAGTTCTTTGTATTATCATGTCACTTTCACATATATGAGTGTTCCACATGCTCCAGGGGCATCCAAGAGAGAAGATATAAAATTAGTGGAAAGCAAGACAATTTTTTAGGAGAACAAAACCTAAATAACCTACTTGCTACTTGAAAGTACCACATGAGAATAATAAATGATATTTCACTGAAAACTGGGAACTGTAGAGTTACTAAAAAGAAATCTAAAAAAAAATTTTTAAGATTTTATTGGGGAATTGGGGAGGTGAACAGCGTTGGGGAATCGGGGAAGGGTAACAGACAAGTTGTCCTTTTGTTCTTCAATCTAGTTGTGGAGGGCACAGCTTCACTGGCGCATGTTGATATTATGATCATTGTGCTCTTCCCAGGTGAGGCAGTCGGTCGCCGGCCTTTGGACTGCCACTTATGCTGACCGCTGGCCACTCACTGTAGCTTACAGCAGCCCACTGCAGCAGGGGCTGCAGCCAATGCCGACACTGGCCACTCATGGCAGCCCAGCTCCAGGACGAGCTGTTGTTCACAATCTTAGCTGTAGAGGGCGCAGCGTCACTGGCCCATGTGGAAACCAAACCAGCACCCCTGCTGCTTAGAGCTCATGCTCCCAAGCCAACTCTTAACCAACTGAGCCACTCGGCCGGCCTGAGAAATCTACAATTTTTCTTAACCAAGGTTTTCATCATTTCTCATTTTTAAAAGAATTTCTCTCTCTCCCTTTTGGTGCCTCCTCCAGATCTCATAGATGCAAAAAACAATATGTCTCTAACAAGGAGTTTCCTCTTTCCTTAGTACAATTTTACAGTAATCAAAATGAATAGCACAAATGACTGAATTCCAGATGTATTTTTCATCTATTTACCACGCTGTTGCTTGTGATACAATGGAAGAAGTGTGTGGCAGGGACCCAGGAGATCTGTCAGATTAGCTGCTCGTCTACCACTGGGCATGCGTATGTATGCACCAAACTTCACATAGTGAAAGGTCGCAGCCCTTCATCCCCGGCAGACATGGAAAGCCAGACTACAGATTCGATTATGAGATGGCTGTCACTTAGGTGGAAGAGGTCTTCTCAAACCAACTTGCCTTTCCCTTAGGGAAAACTGAATTTCCTTAGCTGCATCTTCCTGACATTTCAGGTTATTCAGGCGCTTCATTTCATACTCCCTTTCAAATTTGATGGCTAAAAAATAAAATACATGAAGGAATCCAGCTTTTTTTTACAAGGCACAAGTCAAAACTGAATATTTATCACATAGCAAAATTCACATTCTTGAATACTAAACAAGACAGGGGTACACATATAGGGGGTATAGGTGTGAATGAGCACATTTAAACATTTATCTGATAGTAAACAAAATAACACAAAAAATTCAATTTATTAAAGTAGTTCTTATGAAACTTACATTCTGCAGAAGGGAGCAGACCATCCTTATTGGTTTTATAATTTTTGAGGGGTATGGGACTACCAAATCCAATTTCTTCCAAGAAAGGCAACTTGAGTTTGGCTAGGTTCGTGCACCAGACCTCTGTAAGTAGTGCAAGATCCCAAGGTTCCTGTCTGGGGCAAAAATTCGTGAATTCATTCCACAAATATTTATTAAGCCTCTACTATGGGATTCACAGAAGACATCTTATTAATTCTCAGTTCCATTTTCCACTATACATTTTGGTTTACAGGGGGGTATTCAGGATTTCCCAGAGTTGCACATCTAGCCAGGAGAAGGAGCCACATATCAACTAATGTAAAGATATATTGAAAAATTACCCTCAATTTTAACGACACAAATGTTTGTTCACAAGATAGCCTCCCTGGTCAATCCAATTGTCCCATGTCTTTTAAGAGGATGTAGTCAAGAATTATAAGCTCCAAGTCTTTTATGGCTGATAAAAAATATGTTCACATTAGGGAAGGAACAAATCATACATTGAGCAGGGTGCTTGGCATACACTTAGCCTATGAGTGTGTGATCTTTTATTTTTATTGGGGAACAGTATGTTTTTCCAGGACCCATCAGCTCCAAGTCAAGTAGTTGTTTCAATCTAGTTGTGGAGAGCAGCGTTCAGTGGCCCATGTGGGGATTGAACCAGCAAGCTTGGTGTTATGAGCACTGTGCTCAAACCAACTGAGCTAACCGGCCACCCCTGAGTGTATGATCTTACTTTAATCCTTACAACTACTGTGTAGGTAGACAAGGAAACTGAGACTCAGAAGTTAATTAATCAAGAACCAGAGCTGGTACTTAGCCTAGGTATATTTAGAAGCACTAGTACCAAGAGAATCCTTAGGAAAAACTCGAGAAAGAGATGAAATCCCAAACTACAATATTTAAAATAATCACTATAAGCTTTAAATGAATAGTTTCATGTATCCTAATTAGGGAATTTAAAATATCCGCTCCATGTTTCTCATCTACAGTCAATGTGAGTTCATATGCATGAGGAAAGGGGAAGGACCTGCTTTGGTACAAGAAAGGGAACGGAGGGTGTTGCACACATGCCACCCTTTTGTTTTCCACCTCCAGCTTCCTTGCTACTTTATCTTCTAACGTTTAAGGGGTAACTTGAAGTCTACAATTATTATGGATGTACTTGAACAAGTACACAAAGATGTATTGCTAAGAATGCTCACTGAAGCATTGTTTCTCCAAAACACCCCACAAAAAGAGCTTTAATGGCTATCAAGAAGAGCCTGGTTATACAAACCGTGGCACACACATGTAAAGGAAGAATGGGGTTTATCCTTATGTTAATTTGCGGAGATGAGCAATAAAACAGCTAATATTTACCTAGCACTTACTTCATGCTAGGCATTGTTTAAATCAGTTTACACCTACAAACTCATTTAATTGCCACAGTAACCCTCATAAGTAGGCAGGTGCTATTATTATCCTCATTTTACAGATAAGGAAATAAGGACAGAAAACAATTTGCCCAAGGTCACGAGGTTGTTAGTTGTGGGTTGGAATCTGAACCCAGAAAGTCAGACTTTGGAATGTGTGCTCTTAATCACTAGGTTTTCCAAGATATAGTGAGGTAGGAAGCAAAGTTCAATATAACCCCATGTGTAAAAATGTGTGTGTGTATATATGTGTGGACTATGTGTATCCCGTATAGCAGACAGAGAAATATAAAACATTTTACCTCTGAGTGGGACTGGGGTGCAGGTGGGAATGGGGTATGAGAAATGGCATTTTTATTTTCCCTTCCAATGCTTCTATATTGTTTGTGTTTTTAGTGTATTTAAAAAATAATCTTCTAAAAACACCCAAAAAAAATCCCAAAATGAGGAGTTGCCCTAGCAAATGAACTCGAGTGCTACTACCATTCTGTTCCTCTTAATTTGACTGCTTTTATAAATAGTAAGATATCAAATACTTTTTTTATGTGAGAATGGTAGAGAAGGCGATGGTTTTGCAGAGATTTTATTCATGATATAAAATTCTGCAAACCAAAACCGCAGAATCAGTGCTTTAAATCATTCTCCGGACATAGGAATATCTTCACTATAAAAGCTAGGTTTATAATAATATTGACTATAATTGTACTTGCTTATAGTTCAAGGTCTAAACACATACTAACTGACAAAACTAAATAAAATGCAATAGTGAGTTTTCTCTGGTTTTTCTACTGCTCTCTGGTTTTAAACCCCATATGGTGTCTCCACTTACTTTTTAGAATATTGTTCAAAAGAAAATTTCAATTGACCCATAATGGTAACTATGTCACAGACTGTGGCAGAGAGATTTAAAAAAAAGTCTAAAAATTAGAAACAAACAAAAAACACGGTAGCGCTACAATGTTACAGAGTGAAACTACATGGTTTTATTATGGGTTTACTATAAGTCAGGCAATGTGGAAGTGCTTTACATCCACTACTTCATTTGTGTTCCACACCATACAGTAGATAGGTATTGACATGTCCATTTCACAGATGTGAAAGCCTAGTCACAGAAAAGTTAAATAATTTACTCAGGGTTGCGGAAGTAGCCAGGGGCACAGCCAGGCCTTGTGCCCAGGTCTTCTTGATTGCACCACCCACTGCTGTCCCCACACTGCCTGTTAAAGTGTACAGGATGCAAAAGTGACCCTTTGAACCTGCTAATTAAGTGCTCTTGTTAAGATATACCTGACACCAAGGCATTTTTAGATAAATGTGCACTATCTACAGAGGTACTTTAAGGTAGTGGGCAATAGTAGAAAATGTTGCTTTAGAGTACAGAGACTTCTAACCCTGTCACTTCTTTGCTACATAGCTGTGTCTTTGATCAAACCATTTTTCCGAACCTCAGTTTTCTCATTTGAAAGTGTTGTTCTGTTGGGAAAAACCAAGTGAGGTAAATTCCTATAAAAGCAGTGGCAAAAACACAACAAAACAACAAAACAGTATCCAGACACCTGAATTTGTTCTCACACAGTCTAGTTAGTATTTCATGGGGAGCATGAACTTTTATTTTAGCAAGGACACTCCCCACCCCAAGTGAATGCTTACCATAATAAAAATACTTACATTTCATAACAACTGCCCCGCAGAATGGTTTTCACTGTGTTCTTTCTTGGCAAGCCATAAGCCATGGTAATTTATTACAGCCCAATCTCCTAACACAGGTGCCTGATGGCTGGGGATACTCTGTTCACTGCCTGAAATGACTGCAACACACCTAAGTTAACGGCTTTCCCTTGAATATTTTTAAATGTTCAAATAAGAAAAAGATTCAGAAACAAGCATTTCTGAATGTCAGACCGTCCCTAATAAATGTTCATTGAAGTTGAACTCCTAATGTAGAACTGTGTTTGTTCTCTTTTGTTTTCCAGGAGCTCATTTGATCACTTCTTGCCCTATAAAGAGAAAATGCCAGGTTAACGGCATCGATTTTCCGTCATGGTATTTTGCCCATTGCCTGAGCCTGCCAAACCAGCTCAAAGCCGCATCACCAAAATGCCTCAGACTGTGGCAATGTTAAGAGATAAATTTTTAAAAGAGAGAAAGAGAAAGAGGGAGGGAGAGGGAGGGGGAGAGAGAGGGAGAGAAGGGGAAGGAGAGAAATGCCTGTGCCGAGCACAGGCCCTGGCCCTTTAAAAAATACAAACTTACTCAAATATTTCCTCTTTCAAACATCTGAACTTAAAAAGCGTCCAACTCTAAGCATCACTCCTACTTCCTCTCCCACTCACACTTTTCATAGGTGAGTCTGCCCCCCACCCACCCTGTGCAGCTTCCTGTGCGAGCCCGCTCGCGGGGCGGGAGGAGCCCCCAAGCCGCTGCAGAGCCCCGGGCGAAGGCGCGGGCCCTCCTCCCCGGGCGCCTTCCCACGCCCGCGCCCCTCCCCTCCCGCCACCCACAGGCGCGCGCTCTCCGCCAGAGCTTCGGGGGCACGTTCCCAGATGGGGGTGCCGGCGCCCGCTTACTGGCGATCGGGGGTCTCCGAGGGTAGCGGTCCCTCGCGGACCGACAGCGGAGCGCGCCCCATTAGGCGCACATGGCCGCGCACCGCCTGCGGGCCCGCGCCTCCTTTCTGCTCACGTCGGGAGCTGTGGGCGGCACCCAGAGCTGGAGAGCCCCACATCACGTCGCGGCCTCAACAAAGGGCTTTGTGGTGTGGGTCCCGCCCACGAAGGGGGACCGGGGCGCCCTGTCCGGGACTCGAGCCCCGCGGGGTCCCCTCGGGGCGGGGGCCTCCGGGTACACAGCCGAGGAGCCGCATAAGCTGACAGAACAAAGCCCACGAGCGCAAAGGGCCATAAGCCGGGCCTTTTCCTGAAAGCCAGACTTTTACATGTAAGGAGGTGATGTTGAAGCTATTTGGAGACCTGGTTCGGGGAACCGTTTGGGGGCCCCACTTAAAGAAATGTGCTCAGTTCTGACGTGTTGACTGGGAGCGATTTTCGCTGATGACGCTGAGGAGCGTGTTCACTCGCCCTCGTAAGTCACGCCGGTTGTAAACGCTAAAGCTCGAAACCCATACGTGATATATGTTCGTGTGAAGAACAAGCTGGGAGCCGAAAACGTGGCCTGATGGACCAGTTTCTGAAACCATTACACTGTGGTGATTCAGGACGGGTCTACATTTTATAGCAACACATCAGCTGGTCACCACTTAACGTTAAATGAAAATAGCTTACCTTTCCATTTTGCGTGAGGGTTTTGGAGTCAGACCTGGTTTGGAATTTTAGTTCTACTTGCTGCTACAGCTTTGCCAATTCTTCTAGAAACCGAGTGTAATCCTCTTTATCTGTTACAGGGTTGTTGTGAGGATTAAAGATCGCGTCTGTTCTGCCACCCGGTAAGTGCCCAATTATCGAATCCTGAGCCTAATGACAACTTTATGAGATAGGCAGGTGTTACTTATTATTCCTGTTGCAGAGAGGAGGACTACGCTGAGAGGTTAAAGCACTACCCAGGGTCACAAAGGGAGTGAGTGAGTTGCAGGGCCAACTTTTGAAGCTAAAACACAGCACCCTTCCCCCCTGACAGCTATCTCTGATACTAGCTCCTGCCTAATTAGAAGAGGCTCCCAGTGTTGACCCATCTTCAGAAGATGCTTTTGTTCCTCCCAGAAACTAGGAGGTCAGGACTGGCTTGCTCTTGAACACCTCCGTGCTAGTACCATGGAAAACGAGCAGCAAGGAGTAGGTGTTAGTATTTAAAGAATGGTGAAGCCATTAATGGATTGTGAAACCAATGTAGTAGATTTGGGCCTTACTGGAGTAGAGTGAGAAATTTTTAAATGAATTAGCATAGAATAGTGGGGAAATTAGAGTACACCACACGAATCAGTATTGTTTTATGGAACTTTTTCTGTTATACATATGCATTCATGCACATGCGTGTGTGTGTGTGTGTGTGTGTGTGTGTGTTGTGTGTGCGTGCACAGTTTTAATGTAAAATATGGTTCTTACAGTGGGTCTAAAAAGTTTGAAAGCCACTGTCTGAGACCATTTCATGTTAGAGATGAAAAAACAGAGACCGAGTTGTTAACTGACAGGCCACCTGAAGTGGTGCGTGGACCCATGGGTTGTTCTTTTTTTATAAATGAAGAAATCGAGACCTAGGGAGAGAATGTAATGGGCCAAGGGCCACCCTGAGGGAGATCAGACAGCCTGTGATTGCTCCATGTGGGAACGCTACCTCCTGCATATGTGTATAGTTCCTGACAATTGCATTTAGTTATTTCCTGTGTGACTCACTTTGAACAAATGTGGTGCAAGTCACAGAGTATGACTTCTGAGACGAGGTCATAAAAGGTACGGGGGGAAGGAGGCTTCCTTCTTGTAATATTGCTTGGAAAAGGTTGGCTGCCATATTGGGAGATAAGGTAAGACACCTTATGGAGAAATGCACATGCAAAGGAATCAAGGCCTGTAACCAACAACTAGTGAGAAGCCGAGGCCTCTTGCCACCAACCCATGGGAGTGAAGCCATCTTGGAAGCAAATCCTCCGAGGCTCAGTCAAACTTTCCTTTGACTATCGCCCCAGTTTCTTCACTGAAACTTCATGGGATACCCTGAGCCTGGCCACCTAGCTAAGCGCCGCAGGATTCCTGGCCCTCAGAGAGTAATAGATAACAAATGTCTGTCGTTTTAAGCCACCAACCTTTTGGGGTATTTGTTACAGAGCAGTAGATAATTAATATACCATTAAGTGTCTTACGGTGGAAGGAATATTTTACATAGAGGAAAATAGCCATATTTTTATAATTTTGAGATTAATAGTTTGATAAAAAAGAACAGTAAAACACATTATGCTTTACAGACATTTTCTGGGAAGCAGCTTATTTTGCTGATTCTCATCTAGAACCAGTTAAGATCCTTAAAAATTTTCAACACAGAAATTATATGGCAACCACAGCTCCCCCATATGTATTTAAAAACAAAAATGATGCGAAATCCTATAAAAGGTAGAAGAATATCCAGTAAAGGATGGTTTTCACCCTCATCATGACTATTTCAGTATTTTCTTTGGAAATATCAAGTTATTTCTAAACTTGCCTACATAGCTCACTCATACTCCCTTCCTCCTTCCCTCTCTCTCTCCCTCTCCTTCTCTTTTGCCTCCCACCTTCTCCCTTGCCTCCTTTTCTCTCTCTCTCTTGATCCATGCTCTCTCTCCCCATGCTTTTCTGGTGCCCTATACATATCTTCCTGTTGGGTAAGTCTTCACTGATATCAATTCCAGAAAGTTAGTTTTCATTTAAATTAGTTAAGAGAGCATTGCTGCCACCTAGTGTTAAAACTAAGGTACAAGGAGGAATGCCAAAGAGACAAAAAAACAATCATAACACAAAAACAATACTAGTGGTAACATTTACTATGCTTTGGGCCCTGTTCAAGGTACTTCATATACATTGTCCATTTAATTATTACAGCAATAGGTGCTATCATTAATTTAGTGATGTGATTTTAGGGGTATTAGAGAAGACAAAACAGGCATCTCAAGTATGAATAACTTTTCCAGGATCATAGGATTTGGCCCATGGCTATATGATTCTGATTTTTTTTGCTCTCTCTACCACACTATACATTCTCTCAGGATTGTAATTAAGTCAAGGTTTTAGAATATATACTTATAAATATTTTTGCAACTGCTCATTGCAAAATATTGAGTTAATTTCTCATCATATGGATAGATAGATATTACATTCTAATGTCAAAGAGTGATGTTTTATTTCTTTTAACTTAATAGGTAAATCACAGAGGCTGCCAAAACTTTTTTTATGACTACATCCAAAACTTCTGTAGTAATGACACTAACTCTAAGATTAATGATAAAGCAATTTGCCTGCAAAAACTTTAAAATCATCAAAACTCAGCACTGAGAGTCCTAAATAGTCTCAATCCTTCTATACAAGTACCGTCCTAATTCTGTCCCATCTCTAGCCATAACTTGTTACTGAACTGAACTGGGGTTTGGCCAGCTGGTAGATGTCAGCCAAAAGAACACCCCGAGTTGATTTTGTTAGTAGGAATTTTATTGCAAGCCAGCATGCAAGGAGCACACTGGGGATTGTTCCCAAAGCAGTGCCTCTTGGAGCAGAAAGGCTTTATCCGGCTAGCTGCTTCCATCATAGCATATTGAGGTATGTTTTGGGGTGAGCATGCACAGTGAGTGAACATGACTTACACATACATTGCATGTATAGAAAATGGTGGGTAAGCTCCGCCTTGGGTGGAGATTTCAGTATTATAGTGAGGGTATAATGAGAAAAGCTCCTGCTGAGGTCACTGGAGGGGTCTTCAGGCAACTTCAACCTGTCTCAGGTGGTTTCAGGCAGTTTCCTAATCTTTACCTTCTGGCTCTGAAGAAAAACATCTCAGGCGAGGATTGTTCGAGTTCAAGCAAGCAAATGAGCATAGTGAATATTTAAGGAATGCTGTAGCCTTTCTCCAAGTGTTTAATTTAGCCCTTCTGTGCAACCGAGGTAGACTCCACTGTCACTTGTTGCCTTCTTTCTTCCCCGCGTTAGCTTTCTGTATGCCCAGTTGTGTACGCCTCTATTCCTTCTACGCCAGCACTCTCAGTGGCTCTGCTGTTACGACCGCAACCATCACTTCTCTTTGGGTGGCCCTCTACTCTGACTCTCTAGCCAGCCTTGTTCTTTCCTGAATTCATATCCTGCTTTTCCATCGGTTTAGGGGCTCTTCCTAGCTGACTATCCCGTTCAGATGAAAGTGTCAGCATATATGGAAGGTAAATTCACCACCTACTCCCTAAACCATGTCTTTGGTTTCTATTTCTGGGGATGGTACTTCCTGGTACTTTGAGGGAGACACCTTTACAAATGGAGATTCCTCTTACAAATGTGTCTTTTACAAAGAGCAACTTCTACATGGTTTTCAGAGCTTCTCCCAAGTCTGCTGTTTCTTCAAATTGACCAGCCTAAAACAACACTTATGCCAAATAGATATACAGGGGGTGACAAAGAAATGTATACACATTTTAAGAAAGGAAAACACTATTAAAATTGTAATACTCAATATATGCCAATAACAAAACATGCATACAAGTCACGTTTGACTTCTGCAATTGCAAGAGGTGCCCAAAGTGGTTACCATCAGAGTAATTTTAATAGTTTTTTCCTTTCTTAAAATGTGTATACATTTTTTTAGCACCCTTTGTATTTTGGGGTAGCAAATTCTGTTCCACTACAGCTCCTAGGCTACGAACCTGTACAGCGTGTTACTATACTGAATACTGTAGGCCATTGTAACACAATGGATTTGTGTAATGCATTGTGCTACAACATTATGACAGCTATAATGTCACAAAGTGATAGGAATTTTTCAGCTCCATTATAATCTTATGGGACCATATGTATGCTTTTTGTTGTTAACAGAAAGGTCGTTATGCAGCGCATGACTGTAGTAAGTTGCAGAGCCAGATTTAACACTCCTGACCTGTGTGGATGAAAAAAGGAGATTCTATGGACAGTAACCTCACAGGGTGACCTGATCATAAATTCCCTAAGTGGGCAAGTCATGGTGGGTAGTAGTGCTCCAGGCCTAAAACTTCTTTAATGAAAGATTTTAAGTCAGCCCTGTCCATTGTTCTTATGCATCAAGGTTAACACACCTTAACAGATAGTAATACCCCTCCAAGGGGGTATTAACCTTCAAGAGAGGCAGAATCCTAACTATCCTGTAGTCCAACCCTCCGCCCCCTCCCTCTTGCTTTCTCCAATCTTTCTTGAGTCCCCTCCTTAATTTCAAATGCATAAAAGAAGCTGCAAAACTGTTATTCTCTGGAGCACTTGTGATCTTGTTCCCCGGCGTATGTCGTCAGTTTGGCTCAAATAAACTCATAAAAATTCTCTATACAGTAGGACATTTCTTACATCAAGACCTACCTCCTTTGAGTTCTCTGGATCCCCTGGCTAGGTTATATAGCCCTCTATATGTGCATGAGATTTTCATTGCATCCTTACAGTAACATTCACTACCCACCCATTTTATATGCAGTCGACAGAGTAGGTTTCTGTATCTTAAGCACATTATTGCCTGACCAGAACAGAAAATAATAGCCACAAATAGTGTCCGGTCTCCTCAGCTCTCCTTAGAGGCAGAAGTTAAAATTTCCCAGGTGTCCAGTTGATTAAATTCCTGTTCTTTGGGAGGCACAGCAGATCAGAATCCATTATCCTGATTCAAGACTATGGTGCATGATTTACAAACCCGGATTCTCCTCAGGACAAAATCTGGAGCAGTGGGGATCCCTGGCTGGCTCTCAAGTGGGCACCCCAAACCTACCTCTGCTGTGGAGAGGTTTATACCAGGACAGCTGCACCT